TGGACCCATATACTAGGGATTTTTTCGAGCACTAAAATTATACTATATTTCTTTGGTTTAATTATTCAATCATCCAAGAAAGGAAAAATTGGCTAAATAACATAATCGTCAACCTAACTAACGTTCAAATACGGACTCATATAAGTAAATTACTAAGTAAAGGTTTAATCTTTAATGGTCCAATCACTGTTGATAGAAACAATTGTGCTTTTAACGTAGAAAATATCATTTGTTTTTCACCAAAAACATAAGAGCAAAAAATCTGATTAAGAGAAGAACTACAGCGCGAACTGTTTAAGTATAAAATCACTAGTAATAGAAAAAATAAAATAATAATGTATAAGCGTAAAATAGATAATCTAAAACAATTTTTTAAAAGATAACAATTTAATAATAGTCAAAGCGAATAAAGCAAATAATAATTGTGAATAAGTATCACGATAAAAACATCTACAGGCAATTACTAGACCAAGATGTACTGTACAATGAACTTAATAATAATCCTACTGACTCATTTAACAAAAAATTAAAAGAACCCTTGATAAACTTGAAAAGTAAAACCTTATTAATAGGATTGAAAAACAATTTATCTTAAGAGGAGAGAACAGAATACCGAAGTTTTCCTATAGAGTTAAAACTCAAAGAACCCGTTTCGTACAGACCTTTAGTAGACATAAAAGGCTATATACAGTAGATCCCCCTATAAGACGGTAGATACGTTCCGTTCTTTATGAATCAATTTTGTAGGAATCATAGTTTACGGACTACGGCTGTTTGAAAGGTTTTCTTTCATAAAATTAATCGATTCTAGACTAATTCGACTCAACATTTCCAAAATACGTATATTTTTTTGAAAATAATCCGTATAAACTACGTTATAAACAAAAAATTGTAGGATTGCTTACCGAGTGTGTACCGTTCGACTACGCCCGTTGCTAAAGCTTGGTTTCGTCGCGGAACAGCGCATCAAACCGCGGCCGCGATTTCTGATATTATTTTTCTGCGAAAACTTCGTTGACCTTTGGAGACATCCTTAATATAAATAATTTTTATGGCCGTTAAATAAGAAATGTTTCTTTCACAAGAAATGTATAAAATTACAGTACTGGACAGACGATAGGTCGCCTAACTCGCCGTAGCGTGACGCTAGACGGCGAAAAATATATATTTAATTATAATAAAGTTACAATAAATTAAGTTAATATATAATTATATATACAGTACCTAATTTATATATAATTAATATATAATTATATGTACAGTACCTAATTTATATATAATTATATGAACAGACGATACTAAACTCAATTTATCCGCCTAAACGTCCGTAGCGTGGCGCTACGGACGGCGGGAAAGTAGTTCGGCTGCCCGATGACGTTTTACGTATTATAGGAGTTATTTTTACCGTTGTTTACGGATACTGCCACAATTTTTATAGGAATCATAACTATAGGAAACGGTTTTATAGGGAGATCTACTGTATTTTATAATCTCGAATTAGTTTTAAAGGGGGAAACTAAACGCTTTAGAAAAATCTCATCATAGTATACAAAGCACCGATAGTTTCATACAAAAATTAAAAACCCTGTAGCGTTTAAACCAAGTTATAGACTAGTTATAACTATTTTATTAGCAATGATAAATTCTATAGGCAAAATGGTGGTATCCCGATGGGTTCGGTAACAGCTGAACTTAGCATGTTCCGTAGACAGTGTCATGCATTACACTTCTGAAGTATCCAGTTACATCAAGAAAAACATTTTTTACACGAACATTGACAAAATCATACAACATAACACTAATAAAACAACTGAAATACAAGATGTAATAAGAATGTTTTTAACGAATGGTTACAGCAAAGGCATAATCAACAACTAGATCAATAATAAGGAAACTAATAAACACAAACATGAAAGCAACAACACCACTCATAATTTTTTTAAAATTCTATACGAAGAAAATATCTTTGAAAGAATCAAATTTAAATCAAACAAATATGGTATAATTTTAGTGCCCGAAAAAACCCCTTTTTTATTGTTTTAGTGGTAAAACAGTTAACAATGTTATGGTTTTAACAATATACTTTCTTATGTATATTGTTTACCTCTCACCGCTATTACTACTTTATGTATCGTACCGTCATATCTATTGTAAGTTCACAATTTTTACACCTTGTTATATATATTTTTGTTCCTGTAAATCATTAACATTCTAACTGTTGTTATAGCAGTATACCGTATATTATCAATCGTCACCATTTCTGTAGGCTACTTCTTATAAACATGTAAGTTAAAAATTTTATGTTAACTTGTATGCATTATTTCTTTAACAGTTACATCACAAAAAGGAAATAAAAATGATTTTCTAAAGATTGCCCTGTTTCTAATTGATGGTGTAATAGGTCTAGCGGAAAAGAAAAGCCGCCATAGAGCTCATAAAATTGAATACAAGACTAGACAAGAAGCATATTACAAAACGTTATTTAAATTTATTTAATTTTAAATTTTATTAAAAACTTAAAAGGAAAAATAAATTTTATTTTATATACTTCTCAGTTTATTGAGAAGAATATAAAATTTAATAAGATTTAAAATAAGACAAATTTAATAAATTTTTGTTTTGTTAGCGAACAAACTAAATGTAAAAGTAAATGGTATTGATTAATAAAATTTATTTTATCATTTCTCTTTCATCTAGATTCAATTTCTTCGCCATTTTTCAAACAATTCTATAGAGTCTGTACCAGCGGTGTAGTCGTGCCAAGACATACCAGAGTGGCAAAGGTCAAAGTACAGGAAATCCTCGTTAATTCGAACTCAGATAGTACGAAATCATGTTAGTTCTGTAACTATCCGGTCACAGATATAGAGATTTACATGTTAAGGAATTCGGTTAGTTCGAAATACGGCTAATTCGTAATTCGTATTACGAATTAACCGTACGAGTAGCAGATTAAAATATTTGTAAGGCTTTATGCTACAACATTTAGGCGACTTACTAGTTTTTGTGCCACTTTAAAAATAGTTGCGGCTACATTTCGAGGAATTCTGCTTTACTTTTATAAAACCTGTCTAATATGTGAGGGTTCTCATCGGACACGTGTTGTTTACATTTACATTTATATTATTATTGTTTTTAATTAACGAAAACAGCGTTCGTATCCGTATTTCGTTTGTTTATTAAATTACATCAGTTACGTCTCATTTAATGTAGTATATAAAAATATGTAAATCTAGGATAATTCGAAACTCGATAATTCGAAAACCCGATTGTTTCGTTCCTTGAATTTCGAACTAACGAGTGTTTCTTGTACTTCTACTGTATTTTGTGAATATCTAGGTTAAACTGAGAAAATTAATTACAGTTTGCATAGTTGTTCGAACTTATTACGAAAATATCACATTTTTGGTGCATTTAAGCCGATTTGCAGATATAGGGCCACAAAGTTGCTCTTTATCAACACAAAACTCCATAGACGATGGCACATCTTTAGTCAGTGGTGATTCAAACTCGGCACTTTTTAATTTACTGTTAAACCCCTGGTTTACATAAAATGTATCTCGCTTGCTGTAGATTCTAATATTGTAGATTTATCCTAAGATTCTAAAATTTATATTACTGTGAATGACCGATATCTGGCGAATGTCAACATTCTCCAGCGAATGTCAGCATTCACACAGTCATTTCGTGTATGTACGAAATATTTGCTAAATATCATTATTTCTCACTTACACCGGCAAATGTCGACATTTAGCATGCACTGATGGTGAATGTTGAATAAAAATATTTTTATTACGTTAAGACAAAAATGCAACTTTTTAATGTCAAAATAGGAGAAAGCTTAAGTAACAGCACATGTAAATAAACTGTTGAACCTAAAACGAACAGTACATTCTAAATCATTAAAGAAAATAATACACAAAATTACACACACATATATATTATGTGATTGACGGTATATAATCTTATTTATTGCAACAACTTAAACTGTTATGGCACTTTGAATTGCACAAGAGTCCCTTGCTTTTACAACTGCATTTATTCGTGGAACACTTCTCTTTGCAATGGTTAAAAGCAAGGGACTCTTGTCCCTTGCTTTTACAACTGCATTTATTCGTGGAACACTTCTTTTTGCAATGACAGCGTGTATAGCCTTGACCTCCACTTTTCGAATTAGCTGCAGCTGCTTGTCTTAGCGATATTTCTTGAGAAGAAATATCATCTATGGAAAGTAACTTTTCTTTACAAATTACGAACTGATTGCGGGTATAAAGTTGCTTGAGAGTAATTTTGTTTGCTAATTTATAAAAGTCGGCGTCTTCTATTTTAACAACAACCGCCAACACATTTCAAGCATCTGTACGGCCACGGTCGACATTAGGGACTTGTATTCGTACGGTATCGCCAATTTAAGCAGAAGGAAATGGCAAAGAATTTGGCGACAGACTGTCGCCTCTCTGTCGACATCTGCTTCTCGGGTGTTGTTTCGACCTCCACCAAAGCTTATCTGTGCTTGTCAACATATACCGGCTATTGTTCGAATGTATATAATAATATAACCAAATATTCGGTCTTTCACCGACGTATTTTGTATGTGTCAACATTCACCAGAGAATATCGACATTCTCTAATTTCAGTCTTTCACAGTAACATATATAATTTATAAGTATCTCTAATTATAATCGTTTCTGTAGAAGAGTAATTCTCGAACTGTGCTCTTTAAGCGATGGCTGAATGTACTGCGAATATGAAAATATATTTTAAAAACGAAAAAAAAAACCCATTTGTATAAAGATATACATCATCCATTATCAACAAGTAATTAGGCTAGACTTTTAGGTTAATTATTACTGTACACAGCTACTAAGAGAGCCTCGTTAACTATACCATACCCATCGTGTATTCGGACATACTTTAATTATTATGCAATTTCAAAATACAGTATTTAAAAAAATAAAGAATTATGTTTTAAAATTTTATTGAATAAAAGCAAGATTTACCATATCTTTTGAATCGATACTTCCCATGTATCCTATTTCAATCTGCGCTCTTATAGTAAGTTGTTTTTTACCTGAAACAAAATAAAATATTTTATTTATTTATTTATTATTAACAAAACAATAAAGGATAAAATGTAAATTAAACGTAAAACTTTGATTTAATTACACAAAATAATTAACGTGTTGATAATTCTTTATACCAAGTTTTACTTTCCTTGCTGTTATATATAACAAAGGAAAATATTAAGTTAAATAAAAAAACAGTTATAATTTTATAATTTAATATATACTATATTCATAAATCGAATTTTCTCGTAGATTTCACGTAGCTATTACAATTAAAATTATTTTAACCCCAGGTTTTCTTCGTGTGTCTAAACCTAAATAGGGGCTATTCCCCATAGAAAGTATTTCCTGGAGGCACCCCCTTAGTAAAACGCCAATGTCTTGATTGCCTTATTCTATCAATTCCACAATTCTACAGTGTTTATTATTATTCCTTAATTTTTTTTTTATATCCGACTTCGTATAAACAATATATTGTTAGCAATCTTTTAAATCTTTCATTCTTTATTGTTAATAGTTTGGTTAGTTTGTGCTCTTAATCTAAGATTTAATATATTCTAAGTTATTTATGGGATATTCGTTTTACTTCAAATAGACTTAATTATCTTTATTATAAAATAAATTAAATTTATTTACTTTAACTTACCCGAATCTCCGGGTGGACGATGATTTTTGTCATATTCTTCATCCTTTAGTTTTTTAAAAAAATCCGTTTCGGTATATTGTTCGACTTGTCTGGAAAAAAGTTACTATAAACAAAATTAATAAAATAATAGAATATTATAACAATTATGATTTTTTTACCTGCAATTTATTTATATTATTAATATTATTAATTAACGAAAATAACGTTCTGTATAATTAACCGTATTCCACTTGCTTAATAAATTACATCAGTTACGTGGCATTTGCCATATTATACAGAAATATGTAAATCTTAGGTAATGATGACACTAATGAAAGTTTATTCTATTGAAATAATATACCAAAAGAACAATTTTTTTTATATATAACAATAGTATAATCAGAAAAAGCATTTAGTATCTCATAGAATATCATTTCAAGCTATTCAATATAAAAACCATAGAAATGACAAACTACTCACAAGATTGTATAGTTTAAGAATTTACAGTTTGATAGATTAACAAAAAAAATATATTTTTAATAAGTTTATATTAACATTTTAAAGGGTTTTAAACGAATTTTTTAACCAAAGTATAAAAATGACACACTTTTATGGTGTCGTTAGAAGTCAGATACAGATACAGAATATTGATATAGATTTTCTTTTATCCTTGAAACATTTTAGAAATAGAATAGTAATATTTTATTTAAATGATCCAATTTAAAACATGTTTAGCCTTAATTAAAAATTAGTTATTCGTTTTAATTCTACACGAAATGACTATAAACATTTAAAATGCTTGTTGATAAAAATAATAATAATAATAATAAACAAACATTGGAACAATGTTTTAATTCAAAATGCTTTATGCAAATCGGTAAAACTTCTAATTATAACTAAAATAATTAGCGATATTTAAATTTATCAAAGTTTCCTAATAACTGAATTAATGACATTTATATTACAATTAAAAACCGACTCTTCGTATTATCTTGTAGTACACTATAAAATATTAATAAAGGTTGGCTAACAATTAACAGTCTGAAATGTTGAAGTAAATATTCAAAATTTGACATTTATTTTTTAAATTTTTAAATAATTGTTGTATTAAATACGTGTATTCTTCCTAACAGATAAAATGATATATTATTTAACATATACGTTTATGTAATTGTAACTGTAATACGTGGATCGATTCAAGATCGTAACTAGCACTAAAAGACAATTAATAATTAAATAATAATAAAATAATAAGTATTTTATTATAAACTACTACAACTAAATCGAAAATGAAAATATGAAGTGACAAACACGTGACAATACAGAACACATTTCTCTAAATAGTAGGATAGTGAAACCTAAATTTACCAATTTCATAATGAAAGTTAAATCCGAATTTAAAGCAAAATTTGCTGATTTAAAAAAAAAAACGGCATCTTCAATATGAACAACTCTGAATTAAATACGTGTGCTTCAGTAAATACTCAGAAATAAAAGCATTAGCCATATTTGTTTGGGTCAACATATTTAGATATGTCAAGAATATTAACTTCATAAAGAATAAATTTAGATCTTGACTCATAAATGTTCGCCTCCTTGACCTACTGAGAATAAGTTCATTGACTATAATCCAAATTTTAGACAGGTACGCCAACGTAAAATGTAATTACTCATATTAAACATGAATTTTCATAAGATTGTATTACAAGTATTGTTTATATATATATATATATGTATATAAACAAAGAGTAAAATCTTTGTTTTAAAAGTGACCACGAATCTATATGTTTACAAATATAAATTTGTGGCCATAGTATATAATAAACACAAGCAAATTACACCCTAGAATTTTCTTAACATGATAAAAATATACATGAGATTTTTGAGTAACCCCTTTCTTTTTAATTATGTAAATATTTGATGTTTTAGCCAAAATTTATTCTCATTTTTACAGAAAAATGACTTGTTTCAATTCTAAAATTCATCATTTTATTTTAGTTTTTGTAAGCATAACAGAAAAAATAAGATGATAAATTTATATATATTTGGAGTTTGACTAACGAGCTGGCCACGCATTTTGAGGGTGTTTTTCACATGATTTATCCAATTAGAGGTTAGTTTTTCCATTAAAAAATTCTACCGAGAAGCACCCTCCTCTCAGCAGATCGCCGTGTGTTGTTTTGCTTCATCTCATCAATCCAATCCTTATATGTACTGTTTATATAAACTAGTAATATGACATACAGTACATTATATAATGGACTTACTTTCTTTCATTTTCACTCCTTCGGCCCTATAGGCACTAAGAGAGTTTTTTTGTATGGCTATCGTGGATTAGGTTAGGCCCACAAAGAAGAGGCTGGCTGGTGAGAGACGGGGCCCGAACGGACCATTCCCAAAAATTCATAGAATTGTTTCGACCTGTCCGGATTCGATCCTGGGTCCCCCACAGAGTAGACTGCCACCCTTTCCCTCGACCATCCGGCAATCAATTGTGAGGCTGTGAAAACCTCAATGATTTCGCCTCAGAAGAAAACGAGAATGGAGATAATAAAGAAGTATTCCAAGAGAGAAAGAGACATTGGAAGGTGTTAGGCCTATTATAAGGTTTTAATAATCTATGGATAATGTGGAATCAAGCGTGGTAAAAGCACAGACTCTTGTAAAAGATGTCCAAATAATAATACGTTATATTGACCTATATCAATCTGTATTTATCTATCATAGTAAATACTACACTGTTCGTTGTAATAATAGTGTTTTGATTCTTTATGATGACATGTTTGATTCGATGAGATAAGACAGCGTAACACACGGGCGATCTGCCAAGAAGGGATGTCTCGCGCGAGGACTTTCTCCTTCTATGGAAAACTGGCCTCTGTTTGACGTATTAGGCACGTGAAGAAAACCCGAAAGACTCCAACCGCCAGCCTGTTGATGACGTGCAAACCCGTGACCAACTAAAAGTGTTCTGTAGTGTTATCCACTCGGCTACTGGTGGGTTTGATTTATTACGAATAAAATTTATTCGTTTAAACATAATGTAAAAGGTTTAATTTATATTTTAGTAAAGTATACTATGAAAAGGGAAATGTTTACTTTAATCGAATCGATTATTTTTTGTTACAGAAGTACTTCTCGTGTTCAGGACAGGAATAGTTAAAAAGTGTATAAGATTAATTTATTAAATAATGGTATAACTTCATTATTAGTTTTCTGTAATGGTTTATTGTGGAAAAAAGTTTGGCATACATAAACGATAAATTAATTTTTAATATTATTATTATTATCTTTTATAAATTATAAAATATTTATGTATAGTTACCAGCATTTGATAAGATATCGAATAAATAATTTATCTAATGAATTCAACATTCATTTCCTAATGCATGCCTTTAAATTTACAATTAAATTAGAATCACTGGTACAATCATAAGCAACAATGTGCTTTATTTTATATTCATATCGTAGCCATAGTAACTATCTGCTTACATGTTTCATAAATTTCTCACAAGTACTATTTTTAAAGCATTACACGTTTATAACTGTTATATATGTAATTATACATTTTATATAATCGAATATCTAATAACGGAAATCTCTCTACAATGGCCACCTCTAAACAGCGGCATTTACTTTTTAAAATAAAAATGCATACAAAATAACCTTCAAACCACGGTCATCTCGTCAATGGCCATTGTTCATAGATTTGACCGTATATGAAATTTTTTATATTAGCTTTTAAGTGACCAGCATCTTTCACTGAGTATACTTAGATCCATCAAATTTCTCCCTGCATAATCTTTTAACTATAATCTCATTTAGAATTAAAAGAGAAAGCGAAACCACCACCCATCTAATTGTCACGGTACCACTCGAAACACCAGAAAAATCAAAAAGGAAAAAAGCATTTCAAGTATGTGCGCGCATGTTGGCGCCTTTTAATACATCATAATGGTGTAAAGACTAAGAAACTAAATTTAGCATGGTCAAAAGACATAGGTAGTATTAAATTTTACTGGTTAAAGGTCAAGTAGGGGAAGATAGAGAAAGTTATGGATCATATCTCGAATGGAGTCGGACTTAATAAAAATTTTAGTCGTTACTTGCATTTACAATTAAAAAAGAAACATCCCTACCCTAAAAATTAAGCTTATTGCTTTTTTATAATAATTAATAATATAAAAGTTATTTTTTTAATTAAAAAAAAAGTCATAACAGATGAAGCAACACACAATTTTAACTTCGTTTCTTAAACATAAATACTCTTCGCTGGGAGCGTTATGTATTTATTCGCTGGATTTTTTCGATTTACCAGTGTATATGTGTCTCCTTTTCACGTGTTAAAATTGATCAATAATTTGTCAAGAGAGACTTTCTTCACTTTTGATATTGTCCGTTAAAACAGATATTGCTACAGAACAGGACTTTCTTTTCTATAATTGATGAATTCAGCTATACTAAAAGCAGAATAGTTTTGTAGGTGAATTTCTGTATAGCTATTGAATTTTCCAATTTATTGTATCCGTTATTTATTACTTCATTCTGTGTTTTACTGTCTGCATTAATCAATTATTATCTTCATTGCTTAATTTAAAAAATCTTATTTCTTTCTGAAATTTTATAATGAAAATTACTAACAGTTTTTCAGTTTTAATTCTGTTAAAATGTTGGATATAGTTATTAGAAAAACACTCTACTGTCAGAAAATTGTTGCTATCTTAGTCAATATTTCCTAAACAATACAAAATCTTTTCCATCGATTGTCATCGTTTCAGTAGTAGTTCAATAGTACAAGTCAATAATATTATACCTTAACCTTCTTCCATTCTAAGCCACCAGATATGTGGGACGAAATAGTTATTATCTTGTACAATACCTGTACACTCGTATGACTCTTCCGTTTATTAACACCGCGAATTTCCATTTGAATGAAATGTAATTAATATAATCAACTACATTTAATCGATCGATTTTATATAATTTATATACATTTCTAGAAAGAGAAAATGAAAGTATTTTATAGAATAGTATTCTCGGAGTTGTTATATATAAAATTAATAATTAAGGAACAATTATTTATTGTGATATGCTCACAATTCCGGCCTGCAATTATTAATCATATTTTTAATATATTTAATTTAAAATATATGTCCTCCACCTCAAATTAGCAACTCTTGCCCCTGTACATCATACTTTTCCTTTAACAATAGAGCCATGCCGGTCGTTTATCTAACTCCTTTCAGGAAAGAATTTTTGAATTGGAATAACGTAAATTCCTCTTCGAACCGGAAGTTCAAATTCAGTTAATTGGAACCTTTTGCTCCTAAGCTTTCCATATCTGCTCTCGTCTTTCATATATCTAGCGATTACGGAAAGACAGACGGACAGACAAGCCTACTACCCTACTAATTTTAGTGGTAGGTTTAGAGGTAACATTACAATTGTTTTTTTCTAGGACAGCTATCCTCTTGTGACTGTAATATGCATTTTAAAAGCTGAAGCGTGAATTTGTATAATTATTTATTCTGAAAATTAACCATAATCAATGGTAGGCGGAGTACAAGAATGACAAATTAGAAAATTGCATGTGGTTTGTGGGTTACAAAGGTAAAACACTTTAAACAGTGTTATCTATAATATCGAGCTTTTCTTCTTTGTTATTTTCAATTTATTTAATAATAAAGTTTAAATGAATTAATTTAAATATTTATAAAATAGTTATTTTCATTAGAATTTAATTATTATCCTTATTCTACACGCACTACTACCATACTACATAAAAATGATTTTATAATGTAGGTGTGAAGTCGTAATGTAGTCTGCTTAATCGTCATAACTGAAACCATAAAATATACTTCCATTCTGTAAAAAGTTGGATCAAATATCATGGAATTGATAAGTTATGGAGATGAATAGAAATAGATTAACATATTGACCTCTCGAGATAATTTTCAGACATGTTCCATATATATATATATATAAAGTATATGCTCATCTATTAAATGAAATCATGGAGCCACTCAATTATGTTATTCACAATAGTGAGGAGGGTAACAGATTGTAACAGGGAGCTAGGAGTGTTAGTACAATGATATCCTTAAGATTCTCAAAAGATTTCCTTTGTTATAAGTGCTCTAGTAGAATTTTAATACGGAAGAATAATGAAAACAATTTAATCTTTACAGATTATAGATAAAGATACCATTGAAAGATATACTGGTATTTAACATCAGCATAGGATAATGTCGCCAATTTCGTCACCAAGTTTTTAGACATTATATTTGAATAATCTACAAGAAACACTTCCAAACACTAACATTATTTACGTTTTAGAACAAAATTTCTGTACACATCTGTAAATTAAAACGATTAATTTGTTCTTTCATTTTGTAGAATTTAAATGATGAAATTTGAAATCATAAAATAAATAATAAGAAAAGACTCGCTATTTTGATGAGAATAAAGAAAATTATAGCTCTCGACATAGACCTTACGAAATGTAGGGTGGTCCAAAACTTAGTTAACCAAGTTAATGGTTAAGATAGAAATTAATTGCTTGAATGTTGTCAATGAACTGCTGAATTCGATTGTCGATAAGATACAAACAATTTAATCTTGCATTTCTATTAATAATTTCTATATTTAGCCTAATTATTTTAAGTATATGTTGATTATTAAACATTTCCTTATTAAATTCACTCATGTTTTGTAACTAAACAGAATTATTAAATTATTTAACATGCAAATTTAAAGTGCGGGAACTTAATTACAAATTAACAATGATCGCTATGAAAATATTTTTAAGGACAGTAAAAGTATTTTTTAATATTACAAAGAACTAAATACAAATATCTTCTTTTGAAACCCCAAGAATACAATTATCCATAGCATAGTCCATTCCTTTGGGGCTCTTCGCTAATGTAAAATGATGGCAAATTTTATTTCTATGTAGTCTTCAATTTGTATTATTTTTAAATGTATATTAAGCTTTCTTTTAATAAATATCATAAAAAGAAAGCTTAACAAACTTTTAAAAAAAATTGAGAACATAAAACAATAAGAAAGAAAAATTTAATACAGATAAAACGTCAGCTAGATCCTTAATTGTCGAAACATACAGAACAATATTTTCTTTAAATAGAAAAATTCTAAAGATAATTATTACTAAGGTGTTTTTCTGATAAAAATTTATGACCTTGCAACTACTATACTACATAAAAGCAAGAGCAGAATATATAATTTAAAATCAATATAGTGTATTCAAAACATAAAAATAATTTTTAAGACGAAGTGACCTTGTAACGCTTATTAAATGTAACCTTTTTTTTTTTGCTCGTATATTAATTACGTGATAATTTTGAGGAAAAAATTAACCTTAAAAATTGTTTATATGTATATTTATTTATTATTGATTTCAATTATCTCTTCATTTACTCCACTATTTGTGTTTCTAACGGGCTTACTCTTTAACTTCTACATTAACATTAATTAATACATCGATAATAACTATACATTACTCTATTTGTTCAGTTTGTTCAGTATAATTCACTATTCTTAATCGATTAAAATCCAGTGCTTTATTTTATTTATTTATTGTATTTTCAATTCCTTATCGATTAAATAAATTTCCAGTTTGTTCAACAAATTCTACATCGTTTTTGTTAAATAAAGACCAAAGTTTTTCTGTTTACTTATTTATTTTATTTATGAATCAGCTAAAACTATTCGTACTCGTTTACATGCTTCTTGTTTTATGATCTTCCTACAACATAATAGAAACATGTTCTTTACAATTGAAATTTAAATATTATTTATATCATAATTATATAGAATTATATTTATATTCTATAAATATTACGTGTTTATCTTTGACGTAAGGATCTTTAGTGGATAATGTAATCAATCAAACAAGAGTAATTTAAAAATGTAAAAATATATTAATTTATGCAAATTAATTTTTTTTATTGTTGTTTTTATTATTTTTCTGTGTTCTTATTGGTAAATTTGCTGCGTGTAGTCAGAAAATTGGTAGCAAAATAGAGAAAAATGATAGTTGAAAGTGAGTCACACTTCCATAAGAATAGTCCGGGTTCGAGACACGTTGGAATAGACGTCTCTTTATTTCACTTGTGATTCTTTCTAGACATTACATACAGTAATATTATACATTGTTGTTAGTTATATGTTATATAACACTTAACTAACAACTGTAAAAAATTGCTAATAAGCCTAACCGTTTCTGGGATAAATAATCATACACTTCTTGACTGTAAGATAATGATAAACAAGCATGGAAATGGGAGAACACGTGAAACACTGTAAAGTTTTGACAAGATTATTGTCACGTCACATGCAACACGTAGAAGTTAATAATTTAATTATAAAATGCTTTTTAAACATCTTTTGTAAATAGAAATATATATATAAGATGTTAATCTTAAGAAATTAAGCATATATATATATATACATTATACATATTAAAGTGCTATAGATATATAGCACTAATCTGAATAATGAGATCAATCTGTATTATTGAATGACGTTCAATTTCTTAAATATATTTGATATTTTTTGTGTTTGATATTGATATATAAAGAAATCAATTACACTCCCGTAATGGGATCCATAAATACATGTGAAAATGGCACCTCGAATTTCAAATAAGGGATCATGTTTTCAGTTATGGAAAAAAATCCTGTTCAATATATTCTTATTTTTTAGTTTTCTGTTATTCATATTGATATTATTAAATACTTAAAAGCGAGGAGGAAATTTTACTGAATATAAAATCGATCTAGAATTCAAGAGTAGAAGTTTTCTATAAACTTATTTACTTTATTAAATGGCAAGATCGATCGATAAGTTTTTTTTTTCTACTCGCTTATATTTAAAAGTTTTTGTGAAATTCCTTTAGGATATAAAAATTTTGACAAATGAACTTTGCAGAAAAATATTATTTTATTTATAATAAATTATAAAAATTCGTATTAAGTAATATTTTAATATGTAAATCTTAATATTTACTTATGCTTAAACTGTTATTTAAATGGATAAGTAGGCATATTGATTTCATAAATTAATTGTCTATACGATTGTAGGTAATAGTTGAAACTCGAATTAAAAATATGTAATTGGATTAGAGGTGGATTTATTTACCTGTAAGCGAACTAAGCGACTACTTAGGGTTTCGACTACCTACAGAACTCCAAATCGATATGAAAACGTATAAAAATTTCTTTTCAAAAGTTTTAAATATTAATAAGTAGTTAAATGAATAATAATTTATAATATATATACTCGATTTTCTATATTTTATATACAAAAAAATAGAAGAAAAATAACAGTTTATTTACTTAAATTAGTAGATAATATAAACACTAAATCTAGTTCTGTACTATTTTAGTAGTTACGGATTGTCTTGATTACAATATGTTGTATTATTGATTATAATGTTGTATAATGTTGTATTATTATTAACTACAGTACAGGGCCCTATCGTTTAAGTTTTTACCTGTAAATACAGGTGTAGAAGACTTAAACGAAACAATATTTAGGGCTTCTATGATGTATTGTTGGTCTATCCATCACTAAATTATTATGGATAACAGAACAATTTATGTAATTCGAGCCCCTTCTCTTAATTATTTTGTTGATAATGAATGGAAAAATCTCGAATTTATATTAAAAACTATGTTTTCTATGCTTAAAAAACGGACAGATATTAACAGAATCCATACCATATAGCAAATAATTTTTAAATTAAACAAATTTTTATATTAAAATGCGTTTATTATTAATTAAACGCTTTTATTTAAATTTATGTATTATGTTCTCATATTCTCCAACTGAAATTTCATCCACTTCTAATTAAGATAAAGGGCTGACATTTTGAATACAAGCTTATGGCAATGTATTTTAATAAGGTTTTAAGGATTTCCTCATCTCCAACATTCTTCCCACTCCGAAATCCGATAAACATAACCAAAGTAGTATTGCTATCAAGAGGAGTATAATACACAGGGGCAAGACACCATTGAAATGCATACCAGATATGAAAAGCTTTGAGACAGGAGACCCTGATTGACCATTTTATTTATAATAATTATAAGTAATAAACATTCAAGAAGTTTAAGAGATCTTCCTTATTATAAATTAACGTCAATTATATTTCATTAATATTGATAAATTCATTATTAAAATGTCGTTTTTTTACCTT